AAGCTGGGAAGACAGGCAGAAGCTCTTTACCTTCCCTATTGAAGCTTTTGTCAGACTCTCAAAGAGCATTTGAAATAATGAGCTGACTTCCTACCGTTTCACATGGTGGTTACATATGGGACTTTTAGCACATGGGAAAAGCCGAGACGTGGTTTCAGAGAGGGCATCTCTCATATCACAGACATAACCAGGTTCTGAAGTTGGATCCAGCGCAGATTCTTCTAGCTATGTGTGCACCGTGAGCAAGTCTTCTTGCCTCTCTGAGTCTCAGTCCCTCTGTGAAATGAGATGCAGGACCCTAACTCACCTTAGAGCTCTCGGAGGGCAGAAGGGAGCTCTCATTCATCCTTGACCCCAGTCTTCCTGCAGTGGGAACTACAGTGATGGTAATAAGTAGTGTGGCAGAAACCCATCCTTGAGTCATGACACTTGTGTTTGAATCTTGGCACAGCCACTTGCATGACCTTGAACATGTTGCTTCATTTTGGGTCCATGCCTGTGAAGTGGGTGAAAGGCGAAGAGATGTAAATAAAGTAATATTTATAAAAACTAACCTGGAACCCCCAGCTGTGCACCTTCCTGGCTCTCTCTGCCCCTCCCAAGCAGCCCCTGTGCTTTCTCCTCTTTAGGTACATGTGGGGCAGTCATGGGCAGCAATCCCCGGTGGGGAAATGTCGGGGCCTGCCAGCCCTGGAGAACGGGCAGGGGCTGTGCTTGCTTTGTCTGGCACAGACTGGCACCTGCCATTCCTTTCGGTCCACATCTGGCCTTCCCAGGAGGGGCTCCTCCCTAGTTCGGTACATGATCTTGGCCATTTCTCTACCCTTTCCTTTCCTACTGGGTCTTGTAATCCCTACCTTTACCTCCCTTGCACACGTGCCTCCTGGATGCAGAAAGGGAGACAACAGGAGGAAGGTGGATTAAGGTCTGTGCTTGGTCTCACTGGGGCTGAGACAGAGAAGGTGGCCCCAAGGGCCTGTCCTTCCAACTGACCCTGGTAGGACAGATAGAATCTGCTAGAGAAAGAGATGTTGCCACAGAGGTGGGGAGACACAAGGCAGGCATGGCTGGAGCAGAGACAAGCCATTGAAGGCAGAGGGAGATCAGCCCGAAGAGGTACTGAACAGTGGGGAGCGCTTTGCTGCTGGTGAGGGCAGTGGAGGAGCCTTGGTTGGGCTTCTCCATTAACACTCGCTGCCAGGTGCCGTACTGGGCTCCAGCCCTACGAGGTAGAGGGTCACAGCACACGACTAGTGATGATGATAGTAGCTGATCAGGTGATCGTGAGCTGGGCACTCAACCTGAATTATCTAATTCTCACAACGGCTCTTAATATAAATTGTTAGTATCATGGTTTATCCACAAGGAAATGGCGAGTGCCTTGCCCAGGCTCTCCACACAGCAAATGACCAGAGATGAAGTTGAACCCAATCCGTTTGGGTTGCTATAACAAAATACCACAGATTGGATGGCTTATAAACAACAGAAGTTTATTTCTCACAGTTCTAGAGGCTGGGAAGTCCAGGATTGTGGCACTGGTAGACCTGGTGTTTGGTGTCCTGGTTCATAGATGCCCTTCTTTTTCAGTGTGTCTTCACTTGACAGAAGGGCAAGAGATCTCTCTCTGGGGCCTCTTTTATAAGGGCATTAATCTCATTCATGAAGGTTCCACTCTCATGAACTTATCACTTCCCAAAGGCTCTGCCTCCCCATACCATCACATTGGACATTATGTGTTCATGAATTGGGGGTGTGGGAGGATACATTCAAACCATAGCAGATCTTAACTCTATATTCTGCCCCCTCCCAAAGGTTAGAGGTCACTTCTGCCTTGGGAGGAAGAGGGTCAGGAAAGACACGAGGAGGAAGGATATGCTGAGTCTTAAAAAACAAGTAGGCTGGATCGGGGGATAGAGGTGGAAAGGCCATTAGAGACAGAAGGAGCAGCATCAGCAAAAGCGTGGTGGCGTGAGTTGGCAGGCGAGGACTTCAGATGAGCTGAAATGGAAACTGGAGCAGCAGGCAGGGCTTCTGGCTAAAAAGCTCAGATCTCCTGTGGGCAGTGATAATGTGATCTGCTTTGTACATAGAAAGATCATTCTGGCAGAGGGGGAAGTGGTTTGGGAGGCAGGGGCAGCTCATTCTAAGAACTTAGTACATGTTTGTTGAATAAATGAATAGAATTTAACATTTATTGTGTACCATTTATGTTCCAGTCACTCTACAGGGTCCTGGGCTCTGATCAGTCAACCAGACGGACACTGTAAATGGCCAGTCATTAGGAGAGTCCAAATGAAAGATGATGAGACCCGGACTTCCACTGGCAGCAGTGGGTTTGGGAGGAAGGGGTCAGTCTGTGGGATTCTAAGAAGATAGAATCAGAAGAGTTAGATGACCAGTAGGACAGGATGGGCTGGAGAGATGAAGAATCTAAAGTCCATTCCGAGGTTTCTGGTTTATCTGAGGACATTAGAGGATCAGGAACACAGGAGGTGGCTGGAGCAGATCTGGAGCAACGAGAAACAATTTGGATGTCCACCAACAGTGGATTGGTTAAATACATTATGTACATCCCTATGACACAATTCTTAGAAAACAATTTTGATGTCTGGAACATTCAGTTATAGAGATGTATCATTTAGCCAAACCTCTATTGTAAACTTGGATTTTCTTTCTGGTGCTTCACTTTTATAAGTAACATTGCAAGAAACAGCTTTTCACAAAGGTCTTCACTATTCTGATTACTTTTAGGAGAGAAATGTTGCAGTCATCAGGTATAGAGAAATGTTGCAGTCATCGAGTATAAACAGTTTTGAGCCTTTAGATTCATATTCAGATTGCTTTTTAGAAAGGCCAAACCAAATTTTACTCCTAAAGTATAGGAGAGTTCTACCTCAGCATACTACCACAAGCACTATATACGTTGATGCACATATACACAGTGTCACAGATACATTTTAGAGGGTAAAAAATAGTATCTGGTTATTTTAATTTGCATTTTTGTCAGTATCGAGTTTTTCATGCTTACCAGCCTTATTTCATACTCTCTTCCCATTTTTATGGGGTCTCATTGATTTTCCATGAATTTTTTAAATAGGTATTTTTTATTATTTGTGACAAAATTTTCCCACTTTTTTGTTTCTCTCTTAATTTTGTTTATATTTTTGATGTACCAAAGCACTAAAAATGTTTACAAAGTCTAAATCTGTTTATCTTTTTCTTTATTATTTCTAACATTGCATTAATGTTTAGGAAGTTTGATGATAAAAGATCTAAATTTTCTTTTAATTTTACTTTTTTAGCATTTAGTTGTTTTGTGTATAGTGTGAGGAGAGGCAATACGTGGACCTTTTTTTTCCTAAATAGCAAATTTTGAAGTATCGCTTGCTAAGAAAATCATCTTGTTCCCACTGATGGTGAAGCTTCCTTTATCATAACCTAAGTGTGTGTGTATATATGGATCGACTCGTTTCTGGGCTGTCTTCTTTCAGTGATCTTTGCGTTGATATATGTCCATCAATGTTTTCATAATTTCAAATTCATAATATACTCTAATATCTAATTTTTAAATCATAGGGGCTATTTTTACCTCTTAAATATTTGGATGAGTTTTTAGAATCCTTTTGGTAAGTTAAAAAAAAAATCCTACTGGGATTTTTCTTAAAATAATGCTAAACCTACATTAATCTGTGGAGAACTGGCTTTATGTTAGTACTCAGCCTTCTTATCCAAGATATAGTTTGTCTCTCCTATTTTTTAAGTAATTTTTTAGATCTCTTGATAAAGGATTACAGCTTTTTTTTTTCCCTATAGGACCCACATATTTAAGTTTCTTGATCAGTATTTAATTATTTTTTGTTAGGATTGCAAATGGAATCTCTTTTGTATTATATCTGATGACTTTCCTATTGGAGTACAGATCCTACTACTAAATTGTTTTATCCATTCTAAGTTTAGTTGATTCTTTTAGGTTTTCTAAGCAAATAACAAACTCCCTAGAAATAACAGATTAGAGTCCACAGTTTGGTACTGCCTCCAGACTGCAGGGCCAATTTGTGATTTTCTCCAGCAGCACTCAGGAGCCTAGTTTTAGGGGTGGTAAAGATGGACGAATGGGTTGATCCCAAGTTCAGGGTTTTCTGGGCTGGGGCAACAGAAGGGCAAGGGGCAGGGAGTTGAGGGAGCCCAGAATAGTTGAAGTGATATGTTTCAGGGCCTTGAACAGAAAAGCAGGGCTGGAGACTAGAGGAAGGGAGAGAGTTAGAAGTTACAGCCCTGGAATAGACTTTGGGATGTCAGATTTCAGAGCGGATGCCTTTCCAGTACGATAATGAGATCTCTGAGGGAAGAATGATCCCATTTTGCAGTTAAAGAAACTGAAGCTCAGAGAGATTATCACTTGCCCAAAGTCACCCAACCCTAGTCTATGGCAGAACTGGGATTTTAGTGTTATTTTACATTGCCATAGTAGCTCACATTCTGTCTTTATTTTTCAGGTTCACTTTAGAACAGTTGACTGAGAGAGCGAGGAGAGACAGCAGAGGGGAAAGGAGGCAAGCCCAGCAGAGCAGATAGGAGAGAGTGGGCAGGCTCCTCCTGGGCCCCTCAGGAGCCGTGATGGGATGGGGGACAGCTGGACCATTGGGCCTTCAGTTGACCCAAGAAACCCCTCAAGCCACAGCAGCACCCCCTAGTGTCCCACACCATATGCCCCCACCATGCATCTCACTGGATCCTCTGTTAACACACTGTGGCCCCACCATATGCTCACTGTTCCCAGCACATACCTTCGTCTCTGTCATACATTTCATGTCCCCAGCACACATAGTCCTCCCTCTACCAGCTGCGTTTATCCCACATGCCCCATGTTCCCCAGCATCACACCTCATGCCCCCCACCTTGTTTCTCATTTGCCTGTACACACTTTGGGACCCTGGCACTGACACAGTCCCATCACAAGCTGTGTTCCCGGCTCACACCCACTTCTGCTATGTCCACAGAGTGCATCAGATGGCTTCTGGAAATCTGTGGCCACTCGAGTACCCAAGGAGCCCCCTGAGATTCGCATTCTCAACCCGTATTTCATCCAGGAAGCTGCCTTCACCTTCATTGGACTGCCCTTCAACAATGGTCTCATGGGCCGCGGGGTGAGATAGCTGGGCCCCAGGAGAGGGAGGAGGGGAACTGGGTCAGAGGGGCCTGGAGAAGGAAGGACAGGGTAGCAGGGTGGGGACAGAGGGCTTGGTCCTAGGGGTTGGAGCTAACCGCTGGGGAGCATGTGGAGGGCCTCGGCCTCAATCAGCCCTCCATCTGAACTCTGCAACCCCTCCCTCCCCTCCTCCAGAATATCCCGACCCTTGGCAGTGTGGCAGTGACCATGGCACTACACGGCTGTGATGAGGTGGCAGTCGCAGGCTTTGGCTACGACATGAGCGCACCCAATGCACCCCTGCACTACTATGAGACTGTGCGCATGGCGGCCATCAGAGAGGTTCGGGGCTGGGCAGGGGGCAGGGCTGAGGGAAGGGGTACTTCCAGCACAGAGGACAGGCTCAGACCGTGTTCACAGGTTCACAGGTAAATGGTAAGGGGATGAGCTAGCGTCTGCTCTGGCTGCCCAGAGCTCCCAGGAGGGCGCTGCCCTACTCTCAGCTAAGTTAGGACACTGAGGGTCCATCCCTGCCCGCGGGCCTCTGACTACCAAGCGTCCTCTGTGCCCCTCTCCCCAGCTTTCCCCTAAACCCAGAATCCCCTTTTACAGCCTTCTTCCTGAACTTTCCCTTCTTGGCCTTCTCCCTGCCCTGGTCCTGCACCTGCCTCTTCCTCGCTTTTTCCCAGCCGTCATACGCTCATCCTGGCACCAGCTCAGAGCCATCCTCTCTACCTTAAGTCCGTCTTTCCCCCAGAGGACTTCCTTGTCCCCTTAAATAATCCACAGATATTGCCTCTTGGTCTCAGGATCCTCCTTATACCTCCTCTACCCTTCCCCATGGCCAAGCACTGAAGCTCTTTATCACCCAGAATTGCTTCCCAGGTAATCCACATGGGTAAGTACTTTAAAGTTCAAGAAGCATTACAGTTCTCCCAGCCTATCAGTCAGCCTCTCCTCCGTCTCTCCCCTCACAGCAAGAGCCCATGTGGAAAATCTGGACCCCACTTAAAACTCACTTTGCTTCTACTGCTAGCCTTCCACTGATGCCAGCCTGGAACCTGGACATCTTGGGCTAGTGTGTTGAGCAGCTTCTCTACACCAGCATCTGGGTGAGGGGTTGTTGGAGGAAATCTCCCATCTGTGCAGATCATAGTTCTGTAAATGTCAAGGTTTTCATCTCAGCTAGCCCTCATTCCTACTCACGAGTCTTTCCATGCCCTTTTCCAGTCCCCACCACACTGTTACAGAGCCTTACACTCCCCAAAAGTCCCATCACCCTCCCCTCCTCCAGTGAGAAAACACGATACAGAGGGGCCTCTGTCAACTCCTGCTGGGCCCTCCCCTTTGCACGCCTCACTCTCACTTGGCCCTTCACCGCTCACAGCCTGGCTTCCCCCTTCACCTGACGCAAACTCCCACCAGGGTCACCAGGGACTTACCTCAAGGCTGCCTAATCCAGTGGACACATGTAAGTCTCATCTTTCCTGATCTCTCTCAGAAACACTTTTTATGTTGACTGTTCTTTCGTCTTTGAAACTCTCTCCTGCTTGGACTCCTAGGTCAGTAATTTCCAGTGTTCCTCTGATTTCACGTGCCAGACTCTCATTCTCTTTCTCAGTGGCCTTGATTTCAGTCCACCCCTTAAGAATCGGCATTAGCCGGGGCTCCATCCTGGACAGCCTTCTCTCCTCACGCTACCTGTTCTCCGGAACATTGGGGCCCCCAGCCACAGCTTCCATTACCATCTTTACTGTTTTAGTCTTTTATGTTTCAGTCAGACTACCTCCAGTAATTGGAAGTTATTTCAGGGCTAGAGAGACTTGGGAATCTCCTGGAAAACCAGAAACAGCATTCCAGCTGGGTCTCCTGTTGCTAGAATGGGGTTCAGGAGTGGCAAGCTCCTCCTGGGTCCAGGGCAGCTCCAGAGCTGTCTCGTCCCATCAGCTGTGGCTCCAGTTCTGCCTGCTTATTACCATGACCCCGTCAGTCTTTCCATCTCTGTCGCTCTTGGTGTTCTTCTTGCTTCTTTGTCCCCTACCAGCACCCACTCCAAACTGTTCTCACAGCTTCTACCTGCCTCCTGGCTTCTGTTCACTTATATATTTGGTCTCTTACATATTTCTTTGACATGAACTTAATGTGAAAGAGGGTGAGAGACCATAGACATAAGCAGTAGCGAGATCATGAAAGGCTTTCTCTGCCATGGTGAGGAGTTTGGACTTTGCTCTGAAGGCTAGAGGGAGCCACAGAGGCAGAAGCCTTTTAAGCTGTGGCTTAGCATGTAGTAGGGTCACTGTGGCTACAGCATGAAATAGAGGGGTGCAAGGCCAGAATGGAAACTAGTTAAGGGGCTGTCCCAGCAGTCTAAACAAGAGCTGAAGACTCCTAAAGCAGAACACAGCAGAGAAATCCGAGCTGAAAATGTGGATTTGTGAGTTGTGAGCACACCTGCGTGTTCAGATACAGGGCGGACGTGGATGAGATTTCCTAGGACGACAGTAGAGCAAGAAGTGCAGATCGTTAGGGCAGCACCAATATTTAAGGACTGGGTGGGAGAAGAGGAGCCGCACGAAGACAGAGAAAGAGCTGTCAGAAGACAGGCCCTTCTCAGAGTGTGGACTGTGAATGGGACGGACATCTGCGTCCAGAGTCAGGTCCTGGTGAGGCTGGGAACCCGGGGCTAGCAGAATCCTGCCCTAGCCCCTGGACAGTGTAGTGCAGGAGCTCTGGGAAGCTCCTGTGCTGTCTGCACGGAAGGAGGAATTGGGAAAAAGAGAGCACCAGAGAGGCGGTGTTGCCGGGGCCAAGAGGACTACACCCCAGGCAGACTTTGTGTTTACTTTTTTATTATGAACATTGTCAAACATATTCATACATATGGAGAATAATAGAATGAGCTCCCATGTAGCTGTCACCCGCCTCCCCCAGCCATCAGCACACGGCAATTGTTTCATCTGTTCTTCCTCTCATACTTTCCCTCTCCACTGATTATATGGAAACAAGTCTCAGCATATCATTCCAGCCATAAATATTTCAGTACGTTTCTTGAAAAGATAAGGACTGTTTTTTTACTATCGTAATACCATTATCACACCTAGAAAAATTAGTAATTCATGAATATCACCAAATATCAAGTCCTCTGCTGGTCCCCTCAGTGACTCCAAGTGGGTGCTCTTGAAGCTGACCTCTCAGACCGGTTACTTCTTCCTGAGGAGTGATGAAGGGGAGGAATAAGTAAAGAGTTGTATGAATTTCTCCGTTTGCTTGGATACTGGCCCTGCCATTCCTCCAAGCCTCCATTTTCTTACCTGGAAAACCTAATTTCATTCAACACATATGTATTGAGCACCTACTCTGTGCCAAATAGTCCCTGTCTCCAAAGAGAGACTGGGAGACAGATGCTTAAATCTTCAAGGAAGGAAAGCAGATCACCCAGCAATGACAAGGAGGGGCAACTTGCGGTCAGCAGAGTATTACGACAGGAACCTCAAAGGAGCCGGAGGCTTGAGGGAGTGTGGAGGAGCAACTGTGTAGACGCAGCAATGAAGAGTGAGGAAGACCTACCCACCTCTAGCACTGTGGAGTGTAGACATGTAGGACAAAAGACATGTAGCACTGAGCAAGTGTCTGGGGGACGTTGTCCTTAGCGGCAGCCAGGCTTGTGGTTAGCAGAAGAAGTTGAAGGGAATGTTCAGAGAAGAAGAATATGGGAATTTTACCTAAGTTTCAGAATTGAAAAGATTTGGAAGGTTAGAGTTAACTGGACCAGAATAAGGACCAGACAGAGCTGTAAGTTCTTAGCACCAGTAAACAGAGGCTGTTAATGTCACTATCAGCTCAGCGCTGACAGATGTAACAGAGCAGTCAGTTAGGTACAAATTATGATAAGGATGTTGGCATTCATTCATTCAGTCAGTCAGGCAACCCTTTTCCATTGAGAAACTTAATCATCAAAGCTTCCTGGTGTGAGTACTGGGGATAGGAAAGAACCTGAGCCTGGGTGCAGTCTTCCCCGAAGAGAAGGCAGCGTCTTCCCTGTAATTTCCACATTAACAGATGAACCTCTTGTCCTCAGGCCCCCTGGACCCTCTGATCTGAGAGGCAGGATTTCATCAGCTGTCCCCAGGCCAGTGGATTGCATCAGGCCAGAGAATGACTAAGCCACCCCACCCGGCTCTCTTTCCAGCAGGGTCCACCCCCTAGGCCTGAGCCAGACCTAAATGACTCACATTGCCCGTCCTCAGGGTGCCTAGGACCTAGGTGGACATGCTGCCGGACAAGGAGGGGTTGAAATCTGTGAGAACAAGGCCGGAAAGGTTGTATCTCCTAAGACTTGGAAGAAGTCAAGAGGCATAGTTTTTTTGAGATGGGAAAAGGTGTTAAAAGCTGTGGCATTTCTAGACCCGATTTCCCGCAGTCACAGAGCATTGGAGGGTAGTTGTCAGAAGAGGGTTCCAGGCCCTGGGAAGGTGCATGATAGCGGGGCTGTATCTCAGCATTTACCCGGGCTGCCCAATCGACCTCTCCTCCATCTCTTTCCTTCCAGTCTTGGACACACAATATTCAGCGAGAGAAAGAGTTTCTGCGGAAGCTGGTGAAAGCACGTGTCATCACTGACCTGACCAGTGGCATCTGAGGTGGGCCCAACACGTAGACAAAGAGGTCCCGGCGCCACCAAGAGCAAGCAGCAGCCAACCACCTGCCCACTTCATTGGCCTTGGTCTAGCTCTGCCTTAGAGGTGCAAGAGTCTTCACACCCAGAGATGGACAGTGCCAAGTGGCCCCAGGGGTGGCAAAGCCTTGGTGGGGCAGCCAGAGCTGTGTCTGCTCAGAGGCCAGCCTCAAAGACCAGCACTTGGCCTCACTCTCAGCCTAGGTCCTTGAAGCCAGAGAACCAGGAGGCCACCGGCCATGCCCAGCAGGCCCAGCATGCAGGAGGTGGACATTAGGCAGCAAGGCTGCTGTCAGAATTATTTCTCGAATCGGTGTTTGGTGTATTATCATTTTGTGAATTTGGGGGAGGGGGGTAGGGATAATTTATTTTTAAATAAGTTTGGAGATGTCAAGTTTGGTCCACTTGCCATGCAGAAAGAAGCCCACTAGAGGGCCCACCAGGCAGTGGTACCAGTGGGCTCCCTGTAGAGTGGGAGTGCCATTACTTGCCTGTACTAAGCTCCAAGGCCACAGGGAGGGGCAGGATCTCATGCTAGGCCCCTCTAGCTCATGGCACTGTTTGGCCTTTCTTGGGGAGACAATGGGGTATTCCCATGCACCAGCCCCTAGCTGTCCCACAGGGAAACCCTGGAGCCATCCTTTAAGCCAACAAGATAGCCTCTGGCTAGAGCAGAGGGAACTTCAGAGCTCAGAAGGTGATGCCTGGCCCAGCCAATGGGAATGGCCTCTTCCCCAGCTGCTACTGATCCATAGGACAGTGCCCCAAGCCTGGACTGACCAACTTGGCAGCCAGGTCTTTGGGTTCTGCCTTTAGGCTGGACCAGAGGGAAGTGAGGCTCAAGGACCTTACCCAGGCTGTGGCAGCCATCCTGGGCAGCCATCATGGAAGCAATAAAGCTCTTCCCTGAACCTGACCTCCTCTTGCTTTCTCTGACTCTCCTGGAAGAAACAGGAAACTGGGGCCTCAGCAGCTGTACCAAACCCAAGGGCTATCTCGCCAGCCCACAGATTCCTCGGTCCCTTTCATTTCTCATGTCAACTGCAAGACGTGGATAGTCATCTAGGGGCCTTCTAGAGCCTCTCCCATCCCACACAGCCCTGTACCCTCTTTGCTTTAAGAGAGATAGACCAGGGGGATCAGGGCCTGCCCGAGTCTATGCTAAAGGCACCAGAGAGCAGAGGATTGAAGCCTGTACTCCTAGGACAGTGCCTCTGGGTCACCACAGCCCCAGTGCTGCAGGGACAGAGACTCCTGCAAGCATAGGAGATACCTGGCTGAGCCACCAAGGCAGAGAGACCCACAGACCTAACCCACTCCTCTCACCTCTAGCTGAGTCCTGGAAAGGACACAGGCACACCCTCTCCCCTCACCCCTGTCTTCCCCACACAGAACAGGAAGGCACAACCCAGCTCTAGACACCTTCTGGCAAATACTAGAAAGGACGTCTCTTCGCATCTTTCCCCCTTAGAACTCTGGAATCTGATCCCCCCACCTTCCACAGCATCCCAAGGCAGGCCTGATGATGGGCCAAACATGTCTACACCTTGGTAGTAAGTAGGGCTGGCTGGCCCCCTGGCCTCTTGCCTGCCATCCCCATTCAAGTCCTGGTTATCCCCAAAACTACCAACTTCCCACATGTCCCCTTCTGTAGCTTATCTTCAGGCAGAAGCCTTTTCAGCTAAGGGGAGAGCAAGGCCCTGACTGAGGGACAGGCAAACTCAGAAACTCCCTTCAGATTCTGCTGGGCTGCTATGATGCACAACTCCAGTGCACATGGCAATCTGTGTGAACAGCACCCCCTGAAGTTGTACAGGGCATAGCCCTCATGCCGCAGCCATGTCTAATAAAGCCCCAGGGAAGCCACCCCAACTGGTCAGCCAGTTGTGGGAGGCAGCAGAGAGTGGGGCTGCTCACTGCTTGGACTTCTGTCCCACAAGGGTCCCTCAAGCCTATAGATAGACCCCCACCACCACCACCAGCAGCAGTTCTCTGCAGTCTGGCTTGTAATCCCCACCTGTGCACAGAGCGTGCTCTCACATAAGCTGTGGTTCTGAGCCCTGGCCATACACCAGAATCACCTGTGCAGATTTGGAACACTGCACATGCCCACACCAAGATTCTGATTCAGGTCTGGGGTGGGGCCCAGATGTGGGTAGTTTTAAAAGGTCCACAGGTGGTTCTGATACATAGCCAGGCTATAGCTGGTCCACACACGTTCCCTGAGGACTTTCATCCCACCCACTGCTTCCAATTATCAGTTGGTTTACAATTCCCAAATTGCCATCTCCAGTCAAGCTCTCTCCACTTTGCTCCAGGCTACAAATTCAGATGCATCCTAAACTTTTCCACTAGGATAGTCCCCATGTCCTTCCCACTCAGCATGTCCAACACTAAACTCATGAGCTCCTGCCCCTCTGCCAGGAAGCCTCTGCTGCCAGAACGCACCCCCTCCACTTGGTCACCGAGGCCAGAGACATGCGGGTGTCTGCCCTACCTCCTCACCCCATCCAGTCAGGCACTAGCTAAGTTCTCAAAAAGCAAAAGCTGTGGCCCTGAAAGCCAGCAAAGCCCCACTCTCTCCCTTCCACTCGGCTTCTGACTCCGCTTCCCCAGCAGCCTCCCAACATATCTCCACCTCTCGCCTCCAAACCATCCTCCCTACTGCAGCCAGTCAGTCATTGAAGTGCATGTTTGATACACCATTCTCCAGACTGAAACTTTTTAGTGGTCCCCAGAGTCATTAGGATAAAGTCCAGACTCCCTGGTATGACACAGCATCTGGCCTTTCTTTACCTCTATCCATATTACCCAACCTCCACCCCACCTGCCAAATTGCCATAATTAGGCTTCTGAAATACTACCCTCCAGCTCCTACCTCAAGCCTGAGCACAAATGTTCCTCTTCCGGGACCCTCCCCTTCTTCAGCCCTGTGCACCCACTCCAAACACTGCCCTTGCAGTGCAATGTGGGTGAGCGGTGGGGTTCCCAGGAGTGTCTCTACTCCAAGCCCCAGGCAGCGCTGGAGGGGAGTCGCGAGGGCTAGAGCAGAGGCAGACCTTGAAAGCCCCAATGCTGTTCCTGGCCCACCCAACGAGTCTGATGCGTCTGAGAGAAGAAACTAGCGGCGGACCAGAGCGCAGAGAAGTCACTGCGGGGTAGCCGGCCGGACCCCCGGAGACAACGCAAACCAGAGGGCCCGTGGCTCAAGGCAGAGACTGGCCTGTCCCCTCCCTCCCCCACCCCCAGCCCGGCCTCCCAACTCCCTACTTCGCGTGTCTACAAACTCTGAACGCCCACTTTCCGCGCCTCTCCACTGCCCGGGTTCTCCAGTGTCCTGCGTTCTCCACTTCCCAGCGTCCTCCCCTGCACCTTGGGGGACTTAGCCAAGCCACGGGGGCGGGGACCGGATCCTGTCGGGTGGAGCGGCCAGGTGAGCCCTGAAAGGTGGGGCGGGTTGGGGGCGCTCCGGGCCCCACCCCGGGATCCGGTGACGCTGGGGCTGGAATTTGACACCGGCGGCGGCAGGCATGAGGCTGCTGAGGGATGGAGTTGGGCCCGGCCCCCAGACGCGGCCCACGGGCTCCGCCAGCAGCAGGTCCCTCGGCCCCAAGCCTTTGCTGCATCGGAGACCCAGAGCCCTGCACCCGCGGTAAGCCGACCTGTTGGTCCAACCCTCGTCCCAGCTCCAGGAGGGAGGGGGGAGAGCAGGAGAGTCCCCCACTACTCCGTTCTCACATCCTCCCTCTCCTGGGCTGCTTAGCAGCTCTCCGCCCCTCCCAGCCCCCTCAGTCCCTCTTGCCACTAGTCGGACTGTGTATACTAGCCCTGCCGGCCGGCTGTAATGTGAAGTTCCCGCTGCCTACAGGGCGCAGACTGGCTGCCAAAGCCACGCTTTTGGCTAAAACAGGCACTGCCAAGTGCACAGCCCTGGGCATGAGCCTTTTGAGCTGCGGGGGAAAGTTCAGCACTGGTCCCAGGAAAGGTGCTTAAAAGAACACGGCGAAGGACCCCCCATGGTAAGTATCTGGCTGGTGGATGGGGAGGCAAGGGCTGGAGGACCAAGTGGCCCCAGACCACCAGGAGAGAGAGCCTAGCTGCTCTCAAAAGACCTGCTCCTGGGCTCCCCCTAGCGCAGAGGGCCCTGAAGGCTTCCATGCCTGGCTTTCTCTCCATCAATGAGAACAGTCACTGTTCTGGCCCCTCAGGGCCCCTATTCAGTTAGTCAAGCACACCTGGCCCTGAGATAGACCACACTATCTCAGGGGGTCCTGTTGCTGGCAGAGGCCTAGAGGTCTGACCCACAAGTGTGCAGATATTCCATGTGCTAGGGGGTGGGGGATGCAGGTGACAGCTGGGACCCAAGAGCAGGTCAGCTAGTGAGGGTTCCTGAAGGCTCTTGGGTCCCAAGGGGTGTTTGGGATTGCCAGCCAGTGTAGGCTCACAAAAGCTGATGGGGCTCGGGAAGGCTGGCTCATGAGGAACAGGGCTAGTCTGTCAGATCCACAGGAAGCTGGAAGGGAGACAGAACTGGACCTGCTCTCAAGGTGGCTCATCTCTTGGAGACCAGGCTGATGTTGAGGCCAGGCTGGCCACCCTGGGAGTTGCTCATGCCTGAGTCTGGCTGAGGGGAGGGAAAAGCCCACCCCTCCTTTGAGTCTACAGACTTAGCAGATGCTGCCCCCTGGTGGCCATAGGTAGCCATGACCCAGGCCCCATGAGGGCCCTTCAGCCTCCATCTGCTGGCTATTGAAGGACATCTGTGATCAGAAGAGAGAACTCAGGCGGCTCTGGGTACAAAGATCACAGAGAAGCAAGGTGCAGCAGTGCTGGATGGGCAGCACAGGTTAAGGCCTGGGCCTCACTACTATTGATAACTCAGGTCAACCAGCCAGCACCTTAACCCTCCTCTACGACACGGAGAGAAAGCTCTCCTTGGGACTCAGGGGATCCAGCTACTGTCTTCTCCAGCTATTCATGGCAGCATCTGTCCTGCAGCACAGAGCAGGAAAGTACTTTCCACACACTCCTCTCTCGTCACCTCCCCCTCACTACCACCACTGTGTGAGTCTAGCCTTGTGACCTTAGTGACCTTAGACAATGGCTGAACTTCTCTGAGCCTTGTTTGCTCATTTGGAAAGTGGGGGAAACCTCGTGGAGTTGTAAGGATTGAGAGCGGGAACAGCTCCTGATGCAGCTCCTTCTCCTCCTGGGTTGAGTCCAGCTATCGAAGCCCCTTGCTCCTCACCTGGAGAAACTGAAGTGGAGAGATGGTCTCAAAGGATAACTCATCTCTCAGTGTTCCAAGCTGCCTCAAGAGGAGGGTGGGGGAACAGGTCAACTAGGCTGATGGGAGCTCCTGGTATTGACAGAGATGAAGCCTGGACCTAGAGGCCCCTCTGTGCTGCCCTGCTGGCCCCAGCCCAGGCGGCAGGTGAGCGGTTCTCCCAGTGACTCCTACCTGTATGAGGAAAGGTGGCTTGATTGGGGAGGAAGAGCAGGGTTTGTCCTGGGCAAGTGTCAGAAGCAAAGAGAGAAGTGGTCAGGGAGGAACTAGGAGTATGGAGGAAAGTCAGTGCCCTCAGGTGATTTTTCCCCTGGGCTTCCTGAGGCAGCAGACCCATTTTCCTCCTATCTAAACCTTTCCTGAGCTTCCCCCATCCAATTAGAAGCCCATCATCTTCTGATCTCTGCTGCCTCAGCCCATTCCTGAGCTCCCACCACCCTGAGCCCACCAGAGTACCCTCTTCTTCCCTGAGGCTCCACTTTGTCTCTCTGCGCAGTCTGCCCTGTGGCCAACCCTGGCCGCTCTGGCCTTGCTGAGCAGCTTTGCCGAGGCCTCTCTGGGCTCCACGCCCCGCAGCACCACCACCCGCGAAGGCCCCGTGCCGGCCCCAGCGCCCCTCGCCGGCCACC